GAAGAAACGCCAAGATGTGCAAGGCCTTGGAGTCAAATCCATTTTGAGAACGTCTCCTTTCAGCAATCAATCTAAGTTTGTTTGTCATCTTTTCTTTAGGCTTCGTCTTCTGCCTTATTTTCACACCCTCAAGATACTGGTGGATGGCCTTGTCTTCACACTTCATTTGAAAAAACTGAAAATTGCCATACCGTAGGTGGAGCAACTGTTTAAGGCCAGGAGTGAGTTCCTTCTTGAATCCTTTCTGGAAGTAATAATCGGCTTCTTTGTACTGCTCTGCCAGGACATAAAGATGAGCAAGGTAGCTACAGGAATCTTTGATCATCTCCTTGGTCTCTTCTGCTTTCTTTAAGTAATAAATTGCTTGTTTCAGTAACTGCTCTCTATTCTCATTCTGTGAAGTTTCTCTTCTGGAATCTATTTGAAGGACTTTTGACCTATAGAAACACCCAATATAGTAATACACATAGGCATTGTTGGGTAGGAGTTCTAAAGCCTGGCTAAGCAACTGTATAGCTCTGTCTTTATCATGTGTCTTATAATAAAACCTGGCTGCACTGCGGAGTACATCTGTCTCACCTGGGGCTTCCCTCAAGGCTTCTTCAACCAGTTCCTTTCCCTGGTTTTCCTGATTCATCTCAAGTTTCAGGGCCAAGAGTACTTTAACATAAGGGCTGTTGGGAGACATTCTAATGGCTTGCTTCAGAGAGTCGACGGCATTCTGCTGTGCTGGCCAGAAGTCTAGACGGTAGTTTGAGATGGCCCAGCCGCTGGTGAATTCTGGGTTCTTCGGGTCCTTTTCCAGAGCCTTTTCAAAACATACCTTCACTCTCTCATTTTGGTTTCGGGTACACTTCAGTCGGGCCCACCCTTCCTCACAGTCCAGCTCAGGACTCTCAATCCTGTAGGGACTGGAAAACTTCTCACAGACCTGTCTCACCTTGTCAAGATAAGCCTGAGCTTTTTCGAGTTGGCCCATGTGATAGTAAACCCAAGCATAGTTTCCCCAGGTGACTATACTTCTGATTTCTACGTGGTCAGGATGCTGTTGCTGGATGAACTGTTCAGCTTTCTCTAACTCTTTCAGCGCTGACACGTTTTGGCCTCTGCGGTGCTTTACAAACGCCAATATGTTGCACATTGTGGCTTTACACTCACTGTTCTGAAACTCATCCTTGTTAAACACCTTGTCCTCAAACTCATCCAATGACTCGTCTCCTGCCATCAAGTTCCAGGTGAAATGGCATTTTAGCTGCTGTAGCTTGCTCTCCAAGGATTTCTTAGTGGTTGTGCTGTGGGACAGAAAAAAATAAAGAAACAGTCAT